CCTGCTCCCTGGTGTCCCCCACCTGCCCCATTACCAGCCCCACTGCTGTGCTGCAGCCCACATGGCAAGCTGCATGGCTACCCTCACTCTTCACACACAGCCCTGCTGTGCTGTAACCACAGGCACAGCCTGCAAGCCATACACACCCCTAAGCACACTTGCACGTACCTGCACACTCGCACACACACAGGCACACAGGTAACTCGACCCTCTGGATAAACCTATGGATGCTCACATCCCTACACACGCGCCATCCACTTTACCCCTGTGCGCACACACACACACACACACACACACACACACACACACACAGAGTCAGGCACCCTCTCCTTCTCCCTCACTGTCTCAGCTCCCCACAGCTCACTTCACCAGCCCTGCTCTGCTCACACAGCTGCAACGCTGCCCACAAACCCAGGGGCACCTCCAGCCTTCCTCCCCCATGTCCTTCATCCCACCTGCCCCCTCTGCTTTCCTGGACTGGCAGTGAAACCTGCAGCCCTCGCACACACCACAGGGCCCTCATACACCTGTGCACTCACACCCACCACACACACACCCCAAATCACACCCCTGAAACCCCACTGCAGAGATCATGCTGATGCAGGAGTGATGGGAGCTGTGCCCCCACCCCTGTGACATGTCAGGGATCCAGACCCACAGCCTCATTTCTCCTCTTCCCCCTGCAGAGGACAAGGACTACAGACAGCAGGCAGCTGTGCCCCTGGAGACAGAGACTCACAGTGGGGAAGACGTGGTGGTGCTGGCCCAGGGCCCCATGGGCCACCTCTTCCACGGGGTGCAGGAGCAGCACTACATCGCCCATGCCATGGCCTACGCTGCCTGCCTCGAGCCCTATGCCACAGAGCCTGGGTGCAGGGCAGCCCGCAGGGCCTCCCATGGCACACGCTGCTCCCCACAGCCCCTGCTCGCCCTCCTGGCCCTCTGCATGGCTGCCCTCACAGTGAGGGGCTGAGAGGCTCTGCCTGAGTCCCACTGTGCACAGGACCAAGGCATACAATAAACACAGGTTGTTTTGTCTCCATCCATGGTGCCGAGGGTCACAGCGGCCATCACCTCCTGACATGCTGCCCTGTGCCTGCCTCCACAGCTGCTGTGGCTCCTGGTTCTCCCCTGGGACCAGCACTGGAGGCACTGGGGTGCAGGAGATGATGAAATGTCCCTGAGGGGAGGCAATGTCCTCCCCAGCTTTGCCTGGTTGGAGCACGGTACACACGGGTTAGTACATTCCTATAGAGAGCTGAGCAAGGAGCACAGTTTGAGTCTGCATCCATGGATTTACTGCTCATGGGAGCCTGGGAAGAGAGCAGGGTGCTCGGTGCACGAGTGAGCCCAGGTGCTCCCCATGCCCACCATTTTCCCAGGTCCAATGCTCAGCGCTGCCCATGGCACCCCGGGACAGTGCATTGCCCTGCCTGGCACCACAGCACCGTGGCCAGGGCGGGATTTCCTTCCAGCACTGCACTTCCTCTTGTCCCTGCATCTGTCTGTGCCCCAAGCTCGTCTGTGCCAAGCACGGACAGGGCGCTGTGCCAAGGAGGTGACATCGGCCCAGGCCCACGGCCTTTGCACTCAGCCGAGATGTGGAGAACCCCTCCACACACCCTGCTAGGGCTGGTCCGCGTCCAAAGTCCCTCCCATATCTGCTGGATTTACAGGCACTGCCAGCAGCATTGGCCTGTCAGATCTCAGCATGCAGCTCCTGGCATCCCTCACCCTCTGCCTCTGCGCGGGGCTCAGCACCGCTGTCATCCCAGGTGGGGACAAGGATGGGCATGGGCGCCTGGCTGGCTGCGATGGGTGTCCAGGGAAGCAGGGTGTCAGCCTGGCTGGCCACAAGGAGGGCTTGGGGATGGGACCTGGGGCTGCCCAGCTGAAGAAGAATTAGTGGGGGTTAGTTGGGCCTGCCCTTCTCGGGTTTGGAACCATTTTCCCCTCAGGTGCTTCTGTGCTGGGGCCTGGTCTGGGGGAAGTGCCTGTATCCTCTATCTCCACTTCCTACCATGGATTTGGCCCCACCCCACTCACCAGATAACTTCCCATGATGTCTGGTTTTGCTGGCCCCCCTTGTTCCCTGCCCCAGGAGCCTGGGGCCAGGCAGTCGGTGCAAGCCTGCCTGGTCTCTCCCCTCCCCAAAAAGCCCCCTGAACCACCTGGTCCGTGGGACAGGAGGCCCCAGCATGGGAGTGTCCAGGGAACGAGGGATCCCTGGCTGTGAGTGCCCTTCAGGGGTGCCCCAGGGATGCTTGGGCTGCTGTGCTGGGACTGATGGGTGTTTGCACTGTCCCAGCGGAGGAGGAGAATCCATCCTTCTGGTACAAGCAGGCAGCTGCAGCCATCGATGCCTCCTTAAAACTCAAGCCCAGGATACGGGAAGCCAAAAACCTCATCATTTTCCTTGGGGACGGTGAGTCCAGCTGGCACCCCAGCAAGCAGGCTGACATGGCCAGAACTCTGCTGAGCAGGATGTGTGCAGGGCACCTGGTCCAGAGGGTGACCAGGACTCTCTCTCTGCCCAGGATTTGGAATCCCCACCATCACAGCCACCCGCATCTTTAAGGCACAGCAGAGGGGGAAGCTGGGCCCTGAGACTCCTCTTGCCCTGGATGCCTTCCCCTATGTGTCTCTGTCTAAGGTAAATTCCAGCATGCTGGAAAGGGGCCATGGTGATCCTGGGCATGGGGCCATGGCGATCCTGGGCATGGGGCTGCTGGCAGCCCAGGGCTGCACGTACACTGTGCATGGGGTCCCTCGCCACCTCACACAGGCCCATGGATGAGTGAATCATCATGGCAGTGGGTGCTGGGGGAACACCTCACTGGGGACCCCAGCCCTGAGTCCTTCTGTCCTCGGCAGACCTACAATGTGGACAGGCAGGTCCCTGACAGCGCGGGGACAGCCACAGCCTATCTCTGTGGGGTGAAGGGCAACTACAAGACCATAGGGGTGAGTGCAGCCGCCCGTTTCTCGGAGTGCAGCACCACGGCCGGCAACGAGGTGATCTCCGTGCTGGAGCGAGCCCGCAAAGCTGGTAACGGGGGAGGCAGGGCTGGGGGGACACTGTGGGGACAAGGGGTGCCCCACTGGGAGCTTTGCCCTCATGAGCATCCCATAGCTTGGTGGTGGGGACCCTGTGCTGCCCTCGGTGGGGCCTGATGAGCGGGGTTTGGCAGGGAAGGCAGTGGGCGTCGTGACCACGACACGGGTGCAGCACGCGTCGCCCTCGGGAACCTACGCTCACGTGGTGAACCGGGACTGGTACGCGGACGCCAGCATGCCCCAGGAGGCGCGGCTGCAGGGCTGCAAGGACATCGCCTGGCAGCTGATCCACAACGTCGACATCAACGTGAGTGCCCACGCACGGGAGGAGGAGACAGGGACAGACCCCTCCCAGGGCACCCCCACTAACACTTCATCCACCTCATCCCCTCCAGGTGATCCTGGGAGGGGGTCGGATATACATGACCCCCGTGGGGACGCCAGACCCCGAGTACCCTGCCGACAGCAGGCAGAATGGGATCCGTGAGGATGGGCACAACCTCATCAACATGTGGCTGGAGGCACGGCCGGTGGGTGCTGCATCGGGGCCGCTCCTCTGCCCACTGCCCCGGCACAGGGCCAGGCACCCACTGACCCCCTAAGGGATTTGCCCACAGGGTGCCCGCTATGCCTGGAACAGGACAGAGATGCTGGCTGCTGCTGCCGACCCCAACGTGAAGTATTTGATGGGTAACAAATGACCCCTGTGCCTGGACCCAACAGGCGTTGGGACACACAGGCACTGATGTTGTCCCCAACACATTCCCTCACAGGTCTCTTTGAACCTGGGGACACCAAGTACAACCAGGTGCGTAACACCACCCTGGACCCGTCACTCACCGAGATGACGGAGGCAGCCATCACCATCCTGAGCAGGAACCCCAAAGGCTTCTACCTCTTTGTGGAAGATAAGTTGGGGCTCGTGCCCCTGGGGCCAGTGAGAGGGGGGTGTAGGCTGGGGACAGGAGGTGTGTGTGCTGCTGTCAGTCCCCAGCCCACCGTGGGTGCCGATCTGCAGGTGGTAGAATCGACCACGGCCACCATGAAGGTTCACCCCATAAGGCACTGACGGAGGCAGTGGAGTTTGACCAGGCCATTGAGCGGGCAGGAACCATGACAGATGAGGCTGAGACCCTCACCGTCATCACAGCTGACCACTCGCACGTCTTCGCCTTCGGTGGCTACACCCTGCGTGGCTCCTCCATCTTCGGTGGGGTTCTGCCCTGTCCTGGGGACTGCCACCCTGTGGCACCCTGACTATGGCCATCGGGATGACATGGGTGTTCCATGGCTGATCCTCCTCCTCCCCTATTTCCCCTTCCACAGCCCTGGGCCAAAAGAAAACCACCGACGGGAAGAACTACACATCAATTCTCTATGGGAATGGGCCAGGATACCGAGGTGGTGTACGGCCCAATGTGGACCCAGCCACAGCAAGTAAGGGCACAGGGACCATGGCTGGGAGGTGGGGTGTTGCTGAGGGCCATCACTGTCCCCCCTCACATCTTTCTTTTCCCTCCCCAGTGCAGTTCGATTACCAGCCACAGGCGGCTGTGCCCCTGGAGTCAGAGACCCATGGTGGTGAGGACGTGGCCATCCTGGCCAAGGGCCCCATGGCCCACCTCTTCCACGGGGTGCAGGAGCAGACCTATGTAGCTCACGCCATGGCCTACGCCGCCTGCATCGAGCCCTACACTGACTGCCGCCAACGGGACTCTGCCCCTGGCATCCGCGCCACCCCCCTGGCCCTGCTCCTGCCTGCCCTCCTTCTGCCCCTCTTCCGCTGACCCCATGTCCCCAGGGCACCCCACACGGCCTCCCTCCCCATGCTGTGGCACGTGTTGGCAGCTTTCTGAAGCACCCCTGGTGTGGATGCAGCAGCCGTGGGGACACCGAATCGCGGGCAGTGGGGTGATCAATAAACACACAGTGTGACCCTGTGGGAGAGGCGTGTTGGTGCAGTGGGAGTGCCTGTGCCACGTGGGCAGGGCTGGGGGTGCTGCCCACTGCCCCCATTCCCTGGCCATGGCCCCTGGCAGCCACCCAGCATATCCAGTGCTTTATTGACCAGAAACAGCAGAAAAAAATACAGCAGTGTCCGTGTGCATGTGCTCCCGGGCAGGCTGGCACCGCCCGGCCCGGCTGCACCACTGTGCCCCACCTCGGCGGGGCTGCTGCATGGACAGGAGGGGGCTGGCACGGGGAGGAGGGCACCATGCAGGGGAGGCTTTTGGCATGGGGCAGGCCCTTGGGAACTCTGGAGTCCTCCCCCTGCCTTGACTGATGCTGGGATGGATGTGGTAGGGCTGGGTGAAGGGTTTGGGCTAGGTGGACAGAAAGGGGGCACAGGGGTGCCTGGGCGTGCCCTTGTTCCTCCATGGAACAAGGTGTTCCTCAGCGCGCATGGCAGCGGATGGGAGGTGGATGGGCAGGGGGCAGCTGCCCAGCCCGAGTGTCTCTGCTGCCTACACCCCTAGGGCAGTGCCTGCCTTTGGGGTGACCCCCCGTGACACCCCTTTAGCTGGACAATAGGAAGGGGAGATGGGAAGTTGGGCACTGGGCACAGGGTGTCACTTAGGCAGGGGAGGGGATGGAGGGTCCCAGCCTGCTGGAGGGGGATCGGCCTCACCACACTGAGCACTTGTGCACTGGGTTCATGGGCGAGTTCTTGGGGCAGTGGAACACCCGTCCAAACTCCTCAAACTGTGAGACACTGCCCAGGACCCTGCCGGGAGAGGGGAGGAGCTCAGATCTGGGCACCCCTTGACCCCTGGCACTGCTGCCTCGCACCCCACTCACAGCAAGTGCTCACCCCAGCAGCACCCCAGCCCTGCCCCAGGGATGTCACCCAAGCTCTGCTGGCACCAGCCCTCCAAAGGAGTGCTCCTCCCACTTTGCACAGCACTGACATCTGTGGGGAAGGCTGGCACCCACCATGCCCCAAGCCCACCCCATTTTGGGAGCACCCATACCTGTAGTGCTCCGGGGCGTGCTTGTCTGTCAGCACCTGCAGGTAGATGGACTGGGATCTCCGCTTGATGCACCAGTTCTGCAGAGAACAAAGGTTCCATGGACAAGCCCCATGGGGCAGCCTGGGTCCTGGCAACCACCAGGACACCATGGCCCTTCTGGCTGCTGGGGATTGGGGGCAATTGTGCCCTGATTGAATTTGTTTTTGTAGGGTCTCCCAGGAGCCTGTCTACATGGTCTGAGTGGGTTGGGGGAGCATGGGGTCACGTTTGTTATTGTAGGGTCTCTGGGGTTGTAAGCTGCCTGGCAGCAGGGTTTCCCAGAATTTTGGGATCAAATGTATTTGTTACTGTGGAGCTTCTGAAGTCATGGGGAACACACTAATTTATTATTGTAGAGTCCACAGGAGCAGCAGGGCAGCGTGGGGTTCAGGGCTGAGCTCTGTACCCTGAGCCCAGGAGCTGCTGATGCAGCTGAGTCCAGCTCCTGGCCATTGGCCCTGTGGCCACAGGGCTCTCTCCCATCCCTTTGGGCTGCTGGCCCCACACAAGGTGACCCTCCTGCCCCAATAGCTGTTACATGTGAGGAGGACAGGGGCTCACCTGGGCAAAGGCGATGAAGAAGAGCTGGTCGTGTGTGTACTTCATGTGGTGCAGGGGGTGCTCAGGGCCGTGCTCCCGCACCCACTTCTGGTAGGCCTGGAGAACAAGGGATGCCCTCAGCATGGCCTGGCCACTCCCCAAACCCACCCTGGACCCCCCCAAGCCCCCAGCCACTGGCAATCAGGATCGAGCCCACCCCTGGCTGCAGGGAGTAAGGAGGGGTTGGGGGGTCTCCTCCCGCTCAACAGCGATGGCAGAAGCAGCTGCCCATGGCTGTGACACCCGGGGGGGGGGGGGGGGGGGACACTTACGTAGTAGGCGAGTTTGAGCCCCCCCATGTCAGCGATGTTCTCCCCCAGTGTGTGTTTGCCATTCACCTGCCGAGAGAGGAGAAATGTCAGCATGAACAGAGGTGTCCCCATCCCTACGTTGGCACTGAGGCTGCTGCAGCCCTGAGGAATTTTCCAGCTAAGGTGTGATGAATTGTTGGGTCCCAGGGCTGGGCAGGGCAGAGTCAGTTCTCCTGCAGACACCCAGCCCTAAGCGATGGGGCAGCAGGGACCCCACTGTGAGACAGCTGTACCCTGCTGGGCAATGCCCAGAGGGGGTCTCACCCTCTGGTTGTAGACGGTGAAGTTGTCGTAGAGGTTGACGATGCACTGTGCCTTCTTCAGGAACTTGCTGTATGAGCGCTCCGTCCACCAGTGCACCAGGTTCCCGTGCCGGTCGTACTGTCCCCCTGTTGAGGCAGCCCCACCTCCAGTAGTCCCAAGGGACCCAGGCGTCCTGCCTGGCTGCCTCAGCCCATCCTCACATCCGGGCAGGATATAGGAGGGACACTCACCCCAGTCATCGTAGCCATGGGTCAGCTCGTGCCCAATGATGGTGCCAATCCCACCATAGTTCAGTGACCTGTTGTGTGGGGAACAGAGGTGAGAGGGTGGAGAGCATGGTGCTGGCAGGGATGGGGGTGACCCCATGAGATGGCAACCCCCAGCCAACCCCCAGCCCCACACTCACTGCGGGAACTCGGGGTCGTAGAGTGTGGGCTGCAGGATGCCAGCAGGGAACACTGGGGACACAGGAGAACATTGCAGTTGGGTGTCACCCTGCCCTGTACCCACCCACAGCATCATCCAGCACCACGGGGCCCTGGGCCTTGCCCCCATCCCAGATCCTCCCTGCTCCTGCCCCAAGGGCGGATTGGGGGCAGACAGTGCTTACCCATCTGGTTCTTGTTGGGCAGGTAGTAGGCGTTCAGTGCCTGGGGAGGCAGCAGCCACCTGCGAGGAGAGACAGCAGTGCTGGGCTGCACAACACCGAGGGACATGGAAGTGCCATCCCTCTGCACAGCTGGGGAACAGGGGGGCACTCCTGGCATCCCTGTGCCCTTCTTCCTACAGCCTGTGGGCTGCATCCGGGCATGGGGCCAGGGGACACTGGTGGCACCATGCTGGGCCCCTCCATGTCACCCCAGGGCAAGGGGATACCCACGCAGACTTATCCACCTCCTGCCGGATCTTCTTCACTGAGAGCCTGATGCTGAAGGCAATGCTGTTGAGGATGTTCTTGAAGTAGGTCTTCTCATCCACCTCAAACTGGGGGGGCACAGCCACATCAGGGGAGATGCCAGCCCCAAGGCTGCGGAGGGCAGGCCTGTGGTGTCCTCCCACCCCTGTGAGCCTTAGTGACTGTATGGCTGTGTCACAAGTGTATTCTCATGTCCCATGCTATGTGCCCACAGGGGCAGCTGCTCCTCTGTCAGCTCCGTGACATCCCTGAGCCACCCCAGCACCACCAGCCCTTGCCAAGGATGGGGCTGAGCTCTGGGAGCTGCAATGTGGGGAAGGAGACACCATCCCAGACCCCAGGGACTGTATGGCACTGCTGGTGTGGGGCACTCTGACAGCAGTGAGCACAGTGAGCACCAGGAAGGAGCTTGTATTGGGGTGGCATCTCCACAGAGCCTGATGCAGAAATGGGGACTATCTTCCCCCACCATGTGCCCATGTCCTCACATGCTCCCGGGCTATCCCTTGCCTCATACTCCTTGTTGATGGCCTCTGGCTTCAGGAGGAAATCGGGGTACCCAATCATCACCATCATATAGCGGAGCTGTGGGCAAAATGAGTGGTGGGTTCAGGCCCCTACCCCATGTGCCCCCACACTGGTGATGGAGCCAAAGACAGGAGTGTGTGCTAGGGGCCACTACCTTGGCCCTGGCTGCTCTCCGTGTTTCCTCATCCATCCAGTCCAGCTCATCCAGGCGCTGGTCAAGGATGTATTTGATGTCCTCCACCAGCTGCTGCACCTATGGTGGGTCACCACGGTGCTGGCACGGCATCCCCACCATCCATCACTGGCCAGACAGCCCTTGGTGGGGGCAGCAGGCACTTTGGCAAGGTGATGGGAGATCATGGTGGCTGCCTGCCCATAGGCAGCATCACCTACCTTGGCTTTGCTGGCAGAGGAGAAGTGCTCCTCAACGAAGAGAGCTCCCAGGGCCATGCCGAAGTGCTTGTTGGCCTGGCTCAGGCAGACCTTACCCGGCTCCAGCTGCTTCTCGCTGCCCTCCATCTCCTTGGAGAGCTCGTGGATGGCATCGCGGAAGGGGGTGGAGAGGTGCTCGCTCAGCACCACCACGATGCGCCACAGCATGTAGTTGTGAAGGATCCTGTGACAGGGATGGCAGCAGCCCTCAGCATGTCCCCAGGCACAGGGGAGGGTGGGAACATGTGCCAGGATGGGACGCCCTGCTCGGGGACACCTCTGCTCAGGGACACGGGGGGGCCATGGCTGGTGGGGGCACAGGGACATCTGGCACCATGTCCCTCCCTGACGTGTGATGAGTCTGCTGATCTCTAGCATGAGTGGCTCAGCAGGTGTCCAGGCACCACCAGGATGCTCTGGGGCTCACCACAGCGCCTTTTCCCACAAGCTTTCCCAGATTTCCTGTGCCCAGCACCAGGAGGAGGGTGATGACGGGAGGTTCAAGGCACAGCTGTCCTGTGCCCCCTGCCAGGCTGGGAAAGGTGCCAGGGGCACAGGGGGTGCCAGCCCCCCTCACCTGCTGGGTGTCACACGGATGAGGTTGGACACCTTGTGCATGTAGTCGGTGGCCAGCAGCACCACCTCCTCCTCCTCCGAGAAGTTGTCGTGGAAGATGCGGTCCAGCAAGCGCTTCCACTTGAGCTGCCAGGGCAGGCACTCTGTCAGGGGGCATGGGGACCCCCACTCCATGCCACCTTGGAGGGGACCCCCTCCAGGCTTTCCAGCCTCCCACCAGAGGAGTGCATTATCCTCAAGTGGATTTAACTGGGACAGGTGGTGGGCATTAAGGGCATGGAGCAGGGGGACAGGGACAAGTGTGGGGCAAAGGAAGATGGGGGACAGGCTGACAGGCTGGCACCAGGGGTACTCACAGTGGGAGTGATGCGCTGCAGCTCGGCCAGGGTCACTTTGTGGTACATGCTGCCAACGTCCCTCCGCACATCGTCATACTCGGACACCGTGATCTGCACAGGGTGGGCATGGCTGTCATCATCCCACTGCCCGCCTTGAGGGTGACACAGGGATAGTACACTGGGATGGGGCACAGGTATGGGCAACAGGGCATCTCTGATACGGGTATTTACACACATCCTTCCCCAGGAACCCTCTGCTGCCAGTGGGACCCTGAGGGCTGGTCAGAAGGTCCCAAGAAACTGGGTTATCTGAAGAATGGGCACACATGTCCCACCAACGTCCAGACTAAGGTCCCCAAGACCTGGATATAAAGTTTACAAAGGCCCAGAGTGCTCTCACAAGGAGCAGATGTGGGGCTGGAGAGGTTATCCCAAGGGCTGGGAATGGGAGTTTTCAGGATGTGGGACTGGGACCCGGAAGCTCTGCTGTGAGGTCCTGAAGAGGATGAGATTCCCCAAGTTCCAGGTCTGAAGGTCCCCAAGGGCTGGGAGTGGAAGTCCCCATGGAGGGATTGGAAAGAGATTGCTCAGGAGCAGATATGGATGTCCCCAAAACTCTGTGACTGAGATGTCCAAGGGCTGGACAAGGGCACCCCGAAGTTCATGGTATGCATCCCCCTCACATTGGCGAGGTGCTGCTCCAGCTGCAGGATCTCCTGGGCTTTCTGCTCCACATTCTCAGCCCCCAGGAGGGTGAGCAGTCGCTCCATGAACACTCGGTATGCGGCCAGGATCTGTTCAGGGGGAAGGGATGCTCAGGGCCACCCCCCACTGTCCTATGGCATCCCAGTGCCCAGCACTGCTGGCAGCGAGGTGCCCTCTGTCTGCCAACCATGCTGGCTGCTGGTCCCTCTCCTGCTGTCCCCAAGGCATCGTTGTGCCCCCCTCACCTTCTCACTCTCCTCATCCTGCCCCAGGTAGAGGGTCCGTTCGGGCAGGGTCAGCCCGTCCTGGTCGATCTGGGGCAAGAGACGGGCAGTGGGTGAGCAGAGGGAGGGCGCTGAGCTGAGCCAGGCACCCCTTCCTCCCCCATGTCCTTCCTCCCCCATGTCCTTCCTCCCCCCTGCCCCCTCTCCTTTCCCGGACGGGCGCTGAAACCTGCAGCCCTCGCACACACCGCAGCCCCTCATACACCCCGTCCGCTCACACCCATCCCCAGTCACACCCCCCGACCCCCAAGCCCTGACCCCCCGCCCTGGCTGTCGCACCCATCTCTCCGCACGCCCACGGGGTGCCACCCCGCGCTCTCGGGCCCCGCTCCGCCCTTTCCCTGGGACAGACGCTCCCTCTAGTGTCACACACGCGCGGCCGGAGCGGGCAGCGAGCCGCCCCGGCCCCGCACAGCCGCTCACACTCACATCCCACAGCCCCTCACACTCCCGTCCCACAGCCCCTCACACTCACATCCCACAGCCCCACAGTCTCACAGGGAGCAGGGCGGCTCGTCTCCACCGCTGTGTCCCCCCGCTGCCCTCGCCATCACCACCACCTCGCCCCCACCACGCCATTACCATGCGCACCCGTGCCCACCCTTCCCCTGCCCATCACCGAGCCCACCACGCATCCCCGCTGTGCCATTGCTGTGCTCCCACCATGCCCACCAAGAGACTTGGCCAGCCAGATAAAGCCCACCTGTATTCTGCTGGTACCTCGGGGTGAGTGATGTGGTCTGGCAGGGGTGGGAAAGACTGAGAAAGCCATGGGAAAATGCCCTGGCACATTTGGTGGGCATCTCCCTGCCTCTGCCTGGGTCTTGCCCCCTGTGTACAGCTGGTAGCCACAACGCCAAGGTGAGGGGCTCGGCTGCCAGCACTCTGGAGACCCTGGTGCCCTGCTGGGCTGTCTGCAGCACCCAGGCAGGTGGCACTGTCTTACTCGGTGCATCCCTCTGCCCGTGTCCCCAGCCCTGTCCTGGAGGTGCCACCCTCACCCCAGGGTAGTCTGACACAGGGGTTCCATGATGGAGAGACAGGAGGGTCCCCAGGGACAGGAGGGGTCCCCACCCCAGCCATCTGCTATAGCCAAGCCCAGGCGCTGCGCAGGCACTCAGTGCCTCTGCAACGAGGACAGTGACATCAGGCAGGTGTCAGCGGCACTGCTGGGTGGCTGGGGCAGGGGACAGCCGCAGGGGCACGGTGCCCTCACCCGGATGACGTAGCGGGAAGTGTTCCTCTCGTCCAGGCTGACGGTGAGGGAGAAGAGCACGGCCGCACTGTAGACGCCCTGTGTCTTGTAGAGCAGCTCGTTGATGTCCCTGCGGTCCGGAGGGGCATCCCAGCCACCACACTCCCCAATGACCTCCAGCATGGGCCGGGGGCCGAGCCGGTCAATCTCAGCCCGGTCCAGGCACGAGCGGAAAAACTCCTTGACCTTCCTCTCTGCCGAGTCGCGGGCACGGCGCCGCACGGGGCGGCTCAGCAGCGCCCGCAGCTTGGCCTCGTTCTGCTCGGCGATGGCCCCGATGGTGCCGTACACCAGCTTGTCCTCAGGGATGCCATGTCGCCGGAGCCAGCCGCCACAGGCGAAGGAGTAGAAGTCCTGGCAAGGGTCAATGGTAGCATCCATGTTGGCATTTAGGAAGCGGGATGCCCGCAGGAAGGCCTTCTTCTCCTGGCACCCCTCCAGGCAGTAGCTGTCCCCTTCGGTCGCCAGATACTTGAGGACCAACATGCACGTCAAGATGACGCAGAGCCCCACAGCGAAGACCAGCCCTGAGAGCAGACAGACCTCCCGGCGGCTCCAGCGTGGCAGCCCCCCACGGCGCTTCTTGGCCCCCGCGCCCAGCTGGAGGGCGAAGCCGTTGGGCAGGGTCCCGCTCTGGTACTTGCTCACGTACTTCACCTCCTGAAACTCATCATAGTGTGCTGTCAACGAGTAGGTCTTCTCCATGGCCGGGAATGGGGCTCCCTGCCAGCAGCGCTGGTGCAGGGGGCTCAGGGCAGGCGGAGGGCAGGCTCAGGCAGCCCACAGTTCATGCCGGAGCCGTGCCTGCCACGGGGAAGTGGTGATGTCCGGGTGAGTAAGGAAGCTCCTGGAAAAGGCAGAGGAGATGGATAAGGGGGGGGTTGGGAGGAGCAAGGTTGGGGGCTTGCTTCTTTTCATCATGGCTGCCTGTATATCCATCCCCTTGTGTGCCCCACTGCTGGCACTGAGATTGTCCATAGTGCCAGGAGCTTCGTGGCACCTCTACCCCATGGCTGTCCCCTCTGCTAGTTCCTTTGATGACAGGGCAGGTCATCTGCATGCAGGACACCTGCATGATGGCAGGTTTCAGTCTGTGGCACAGCTAATCTCACACCCCCCACACCCACACGGCGCTCCAGCCAGAGCACCCACGCTGGGTGGGTGTCCGAGGCGTTCCAGTAAACCCAAACTCAGCACCATGAGACCCCTTCCCAACCAGGGGAGCACAGGGCGGCCGGTCTCTCTGGGTGTGGTATGGATGGGGTGAGCAGCCTCACCCCATGGGAAGAGGGGCTTTGGGGGGAATTGTGAGGGGAGCTGTTGGGTTGGGGTGCCGTGGGCTGGGTCAGGTTGTGTGGCCCCACGTTGGGTTGCACGGATGGTGCTGCGCCGTGGCGGGCGGTGTTGCATTGTGCTGTGTGGGGTGGTGGTGCGCCGTGTTGCATTGCATTGTGTCAAATCGTGGCACAGTGCGTGATGTGCGAACAAAGTTAATTCCAGTCTGGGGGGAACCCTGCACCCCGTGGACACATCACAACATTCCCCCACAATCACCACCACGATCCACCCAACCCCTCTCCTCTGGCTGGTGCACGGCAGGCAGGGGTGTCTGCCAGGGTGACATGCTGGGGAGGAGGGGGTCTGCCCACGGGGAAAGGAGGGTGGGGACATAAATGGGTTGGGGGGGATTCAAAAAGAGATCCCGCTTCTTGCCTGGTGCAGAATGGTATCTGGATTTGCAGGTGGGGGAAGACGGGTTGGGGACAAAAAGCTGCTCGGGAGGTGGCCAGTATCCCCACACCGGGGCTCCCCCGCACCCCCATTCCTTCCACAACTTGGGCAAAGTTGTGCCCCGGCGCAGCAGCCCGGCAGTGCCCGTGCCAGGGAGCTGCTGCCGTCGGAAAGTTAGTGGGGACAGCAGCCGGCACGGCAAAGCGTGGGGGAGCCAGGGGCTGCCCGGGAAGCTCGAGGGATGCTGCTCAGTCCGCTGCCCGAGATGCTCAGGGGACGCTCGAGGGTTCCCGGGGGATGCTGCCCGCGATGCTCGGAGGATGCTGCCTGCCCAGGATGTTCGGGAAGGTGCTTGCCGGGATGGTAGGGAAATGCTCGCGAGGTGCTAGGGAGATGCCGGCCGGGATGATGCCTTTGGTGCTCGGGGGCATGCTCGAGGATTGCTCGAGGAACGCTCGGGAAGTGCTCTCCGGGATGATGCCCGGGATATTCGGGGGATACTCGGGGAGTGCTCGCCGGTAGATACGGGGACTGCTTCCCGAACTGCTCGCGGGGTGCTCACCGAGGTACTGGAGGGATGCTGGGGGGATGATCTTCGTTTTGCTGCCCGGGGATTACGCGGATGCTTGAGGGTCGCTCGTCGTTTGCTCACCGAGATACTTGGAAGATGCTCCCGGGATGCTGGGGCGACGCTGCCGGGATGCTAGGGGACGCTGTCCGGGATGTTCGGGGGGCCCTGGGGGTGCTCAGCGGCTCTCTCAGGGGGTGCCAGGAGGCTGCTGGGGGCCGGCCGACCCCGCGGCACCCGTCCGGCTGCGCGCCCCGCGCTCCGCTCCGCGCCCCGCGCCGCGGCTGGCGGAGCGGCGGGGCCGGAGGGAGGCGGCGGGGCGGGGAGGGGGTGGTGTCTCCAGCCCGGCTCTCCCGCAGGCCAGGCTCCATTAACGAGATTATTATGCAAAAGAAGCAGCCCTGTGCCACCCGCCAGCCTTACCTCATCCTCGCCGGCGGGGAGGTAGGGCAGAGGTGTCCCTGGGCCCCTTCACCCCGGGGGAGCTGGCACAGGGCTGGCAGTGCCAGTCCGCCTGGCACTTCCCGTGCAGGGACCCTGCCGCCATCCCCCGGCAGCTGGACACCCGGGAGGGGCACGGGTGGGCACGGCCGACGGCCTGTGCCAGGAGCATCCCGGCGGCACGACACCCCCTCTCTGCCCGGGCACCCTGGGGGGCTCGGCACGGTCCGGTCCCGTTCTGCCAGAGTGGGTGCAAGGGGACAGGACTGTGGGTGGGCAGGAGACAGAGCCTGAAAGGCTCCGGGTGAGAGGGTGGGCACTGGGGGGGTGGCAGGGGTGGCACGAGGAGGGAGCCATGCATTCAAACACACATGCTAAAGGTCCGGGAATATTAAACTGCATTGCAGATAAATCCCCAACAAAAATATCGTGAGCTGCTCTGCCACGGGGGGGCCCAGCAAGGAGATTTATAGCCCAGCAATTCCCACGGTAGCCCCCTGCAGTGCCTGGGTACTGTGGACCCCCGCGGCCATCCTGCCTGTTGTGTTCAGGGTGCCCTGCTACCCTCACTCTCCCGTGCCAGCACATCCCTGGGTGCTCAGAGTGGGCTCTGGGTCTCCTGGGTGCTGGGGAGGGACAGCACACACTGGGTGCTGTGCTGTGACAAGGGGCCCTGCTTGTCATGGCACAGGTGGCTCAGTGATGTGGGATCTGCTGTCTTGTCCTGTGGGTGCTGTGGGCTGGCCCCAGGCACAGCTCACGGTGCCTGGGGCTGCTGAGGCTGCTCTTTCCTGTGCTGGGCTGCTGGCCATGGCCCAGGCACGGTGCCTTCTGCAGCAGCCAGACCCAGCATCACCTGCACAGGCAGTGGCACACGTGTGCATCACATGTACACCCACACACAGTGACATGCACCAGCACAGACACACACTGTGTCTTCACACACATTCTCACAATTAAGCACTCAGTGCCATCCATGTGTACCTGGCACACTAAACACAAACTCAGGTGTTGCAGCTCAGCTTTCATGGGGCACACGTCAAGGCAGAGAGAATCATGAATCCCACGAGAGACACCTCAGGCTCAGGCATCCTAAGCAGCCAGGTATCACCAACCCCAGAGGGGTGCAAGGGCACCCAGTCAGGCTGCTTCATGGGTGGGCACAGGGAATCCAATCCTGCTGCTCATGAGGGTGCTGGCTGGAAGACAGGAGCATGGGACTCCCCATGCCTGCACTTACCCAGGCCTGAGACACACTTGGTACCTTGGTTGGAGCATGATGGATGCACATGGCGGGGATGGGAGGGCCTGGTGTTATTAACAGCCCTGGGTAGTGCTCCAACAGGGCTGTAAAAATTAAAGGCGTGTGGATATAAAATAATGGATAAATCTGAGCTGGCCGCAGAGCACTGCGGTGTCCCGCAGGTGTTGGCATCTCAAAAAGCCAGGGTACAGCAGGTGTGGGATGGGCACCTGTGGGTAACTATGGGGCATCAGGCAGTGCCTGCACCCTCTTCCAACTGCTGACTTTCCCAAAAAAGCCCATTGAGTGCCCTGAGAGGATATGCAGGCAGTCCCAACCTGTGGAACTGGTACTGCAAGACAAGCAGCTGCTGCTGGAGTTGGAATGGAAGAAAAGAACTTACCCCTTTGCAGACTGGGCTGGGGGACAGGGCACCTGCTTCTGGATGCCCAAGCACTGCCCAGCCCACGCAACAGCAGGATCCGTGCCATGGGGCCAACACACCCAAGAGATCACCAGGTGGGTGTGAGCATCCCGTGGCCCGGCGCTCACCATCACCCAGCTGCCAGCCCCACTCCGCCCTGCCCATCCCGCGGGCCACCCCGCCGGCATCCTCATTTTCCCCAAGATTAGCCGCGGCGCGGGAGCCTCCGCGCATCGCCAGCAGGTGACAAATAAGATTTTTCCACTCTCCCGAGCACCCGGCATGGGTCTGTCATTGAAAATGCAAAGCAGCGCGGTGCCAACCTCCGCCATCCGCCCTCACCTCTGTCAGCCCCTCAGTGCGGGGCATGTAGCACCCAGCCACATGAACCCCCCACCCCATCACCGCCAGACCCCTGCTCTGCCCGCTGTGCTCCCTCGGCAGTGCTGGGGTGCAGGGCATGGTGCCTTCAGACCCAATAAAATAGGGCAGCTTCCCGGGGGTTTCCTAGAGGGGTGCTACTTTGGGAGTGGCAGCCTGGGTGGGTAACACGGCCTCACGGTGTCCTTTTGGTGCACCCACATGCCTGGTGGAGGTCAGCACCAATGAGGGGTTGTCCCTTATAGGAAACACCTGGCCCAAGACTTGCCTGTTTAGGGTGGGCATCACCCCACAAATCCCACCCCAAGGAGGCCCATCCCCAGCACCCAAGGCGGGAGTATGAGAGCGCTCCGCCCCACAGCTGGGTACATCCACCCTTTACCCACAGCCCTCACCCGTGGACTCACCTTTCCCAAACCCCTCAGTTATCCTTTTCTCCCCCCCCGCCCCAAACCTCTCTGTTTCCCCCAGCTCCAAATCCCATTACTGCCGTGCCCCCAGCTCAGAGCAAGGCCATCCCCCAGCAGCCCCCAGCCCCGCTCCCCCCGCCGCCGCTGAGTCTCCCCTCCGCTATTGTCAGAGGGTTGCCTCTGCCTCTGTCTGCGAAATTAATTCGGAGGTGGAGAGGGAGAATTATGTAAAGTGTGGTTATTCTGGAGCGGCGGGGGAAGCGCGGCTGATGGCAAAGTGCCTTTTTGTGTGTTTAATATGCATTTTTTTCCAGCGGTGCATTTTCAGGCGGGTAATTTGCTGTCTTTTCAGACCCCGATCAGTATCATTTCTCCGGCAATGACAGCTTTTATTTGCACTGAAATGAATGCTGCAAAATTTCCAAGAAATAGCCGAGGCCCTGTTGGCTGCCCACCCCCGCAGGGCCGGGGCATGGGCACCCACCCCCACAGTCCCCTGCCCACGGCCCCACTTGGCAGCAGAGTCCTGGGGTTCTGGGCACATGCATGTGCCAGTTTGCACACCCTGAGTGCACAGGGGTATGCACTCCCCTGGCTCCTCCTTCCTGGAGCCCTGTGTGCACATCAGGGTGTCACACCTAGGAGTGGGTATATACACCCACACCAACGTGTGTGCACATACAGACACCCCTTGTGTACATGCACAGCCCCCAGCACAGCACTTCTTCCCACGTGCACATGCACACACACTCTCTCCTAGTTTATGCATATCCCTGCCTGAAAATCTACACACACACACACACACACACACGTCCCTCCTTGTGTGCTGGTGGGCCCCCTCCCCACTTTGTATCCCCCCTCAGACCTTGGTATAGCACCCCTGATCCAGAGCACCAGGAGGGTTTGGGGGTCTGCCATTCACTGTGCTCTACCCCAGCATAGTCCAGCGCTCAGGGAAATCAAGGCACAGAGGGGGCAGGCACAGATGGGCACTCTCTGCACAGTCCATTCCCTCTGGGCACAGACAGCAATGGGTGAGAGTCTGGAGGAGATGCAGGAGTGTGAGTGTGGCTGTTTGTCTGCACCTCTGGCTGTTGGGAAAGAGGAAAAACGCTGTTTGTGTAGGTGCGCGCTGCGTGGGCGTTGCGTGCCAGAGCTGGTTTGCCGGAGCCGCGGTGCAGGCATGTGGTGCTGCCTTTGCAGAGGCCGTGATGCTGCATGCACACACCTGGCTGTGCATGTGTGTGCCCGTGTGTGCCCGTGTCAGCCCCTGCCCAGGCCACGCTGTGTGTGACAGTGTGTCTGCAGCGGTGCCATGGACACACGTGTCCATGTCTGCGTGTGGGCATCTCTGGCACAGCAGCCCTGGATGTGCCCAGGCACATGTGGCCCAGGTGTGACATGAGTGTATTGCAGAGTGCTCATGCATGGGCAATGCTGCACCCCCTACAATGCTGTGGGGGGCTGCATGGTCCTGAGCCTGGGGCCCCATGCACCCCTAGCCCCAGGACCCCACCAGCAGAGGTGCTGGTGCCTGGCATGGCCAAGGTTAACTCTGCTGGAGCCCATGGGCACAGTGAGGGAAGCTTTAATTTAATGAAGTGTGAGGCTTTTTATGGGCTTTTAATTACGTAGTGATAATTAACATTATAGGCCTCCGGGTCCCGCTGGTGCCAGGCTGCCCTGTGCCAGCTTCCAACTGTTTGTAAATAAATCCCATGGGATGCGTGGTGCTTGCCCCAGGGCACCCAGCTCCAGCAGCAGGGAGCAAAGCCAGCTCCAGCCCCCTCCTCCCCAGCCAGGGCACAATCCACTGCAAAATGTGGGTCTCCACCATTTTTCCTCCCAGCTGTACCCAACCACCTGGGTTTTGCCAGCCCTCTCCCTGACCAGAGCTGCCAGCCAGCAGTGCCAAGTTTGGTGAGAGCAGGCACAGGCAGCAGTGCCACACTTGTCACCACTGCTGGAGCCCAGCCTGGCTGGGAGCAGCCCCCTGTGCTGGGGCTAATAGGAAGCAATCCATCAGGCAGCACTGGGCACACTGCCCATCTGCCAGGCACCCGATGGATTTATCGTCCAGCACCCAGGCAATTTCCTGCCCTCCCCTGATCAATAAGGGAGGGCAGGGGGCAAGGCCAACTTCCCCCTGCAGGTCATGATGTGTGTATGGAAATAAAAATGCCCCAAGAAACAGGTCAAGAGACCCAGGTGTGTGGGTAAGGACCCCACCACAAATAATGTCCCCATTTCCTGCCAGCATGAGGGGATCAGCACCCGTAGCGGTGGGGGGACTAAAGATTAAAACATCTGGATGGCCCCATGCAACAGCACTGGGGGTATGGAGCAAGATACAGGGTGCCATATGCTGTGGCCATTAGGGCC